GGATTGTTTTAAAGTTAGCTTAAGCAGCTGTCAGGTAATGTGTGACCGAGTCTGCAATTTTCATTTATTAGCTTTTTAAATGCCTCCGAGGGATCATTTTTTTCCAGATATCGAAATAATCGCAGACTTGTGCAATGTACTCTGGTGGGTCCCCAGACGTCAAACATGTCATAATTTTGACCGACACTTTGATTCCTGCACGTCTGCGAGGGTCTAAGGAAAATTAGTTATTTATAAAACACTTACTATGCTCAAATTTGATATTTGAAAATATCAATAATTGCTACATGGTCTTTTTGTAAATACAATGAATAAAATTAAACATGTTTTGGCTTCACACAAAGTAGTATGTTAAGTTCCAAATCCTACGCAGTATAAGTGGACGACACACAATTGGTATATAGTGTAATTAAAAAAAACAAATCGTTTTAAAGAATGGAACAGCTTCAGGAATATGTCTGCACTGTTTTGATTGAATTCCTAAATATCTGCGAGAGTATAAGAAACATAAATAACCATTGAATACAACAAATTGGAAAATTATACTTACTCACTATATGTTGGTAAAAAATGCTAATTTACGATAAGAAAAGTTAATATGGTGAAATGGATATATCCCCATCACTACAAATTCCATGCTCTTAGTGCAAGAGGTACCATTCTTTATTCTGAAATATTCTATATTGAGGTCTATTTTCGACGATGTATATCAATGTAACACTGCTGATTAAGTTGCTATATTGCTATAAGTTTATACAAATTTATTTTAGTTCGATTGTGTTTAAAGCTATGCGCTTATTGAAACACTCTCGAATCCGTTCCTGAAACCAACCAGTACTTAGCGATGAGCGAAAATTTCTTGCTCAGGGTAACAACGTGTTGGTTTTGATAGTGCTTGAATCCACGCGGTCAGCGATCCTTAGATTACCGATGAGTTGACCATTCGGCCATGCCGCCACTCTGCAATAGTTTAGAGTCACGCAAGCCTCCCCATACGGGATTCACACAAAAATCTATACTTTAGCTATATACATGTATATATAGGTTGCTCAATTGTTTTTATATATATTGAAATCACTTTAACCTCGAATGAACTGTGATTCAAAGCAGGGAGTTCCAATTGCATAAATTCAGCTGGCATGGAGTTTAAATGGAAAATATCCGTCTGCATTTTTTCAGATTAATAATATGGGCGGGTTCCCGAGGGACGGATATTCCGATCCGAACCGCAAACATATGTCAGATATTTTTTCTTGCATATTATTTCATATTTAAAATGGTTTACCTCAATATGATATAAGTTCATGGAAATTAGAGTCATTTCATTCATAACTACTTTCTTACAATAGCGCATGAACTTACAATTTAAATAACAACGGCGAAATGACGACATCCTAAGCACATATTTCCCTGCTAAAGCGACGTCGTTTTAACGCGGTTCATTCATAAAGTGCGCTAAAATGACGTTGTTGTTTGGCACGCGACTCATCTGGCACCCCCGATACCAGATGAAATTTCCGGCATGGGTAAAACTCACGGAAACGCCAGTCTGCTATGCAAGAAAGTAACTGAATGTGTCTGATTTCCTGAATATTTAGTGATTTCGGAAATAATATAATTATAGAATTTAATAATCTTATCCTGTACTATGACAGTTTTATATAGGATGTTTAATTTTAGGTTTCATTTTGTATTATGCTTTTATTTTTTATAAATTATCAAAGGGGCATAATGCCACAGCAATATTGTTTTTTAATTCTCAAAACCTTTTTATTTTTAGTGTATATTTATAGTTAGTTATTCATTGACCAATTACCTGAACCATCTTTTTCTTCTGTTGCATTTTTAACCGTTAGTACAATTAAAGTGTTTTCGTTTTTTTTATGAAAGTGAAAATACTACTTTTTTGAGACAAACTATTTCGCATTAAGTGCTAATTTCGTCAGGTAACAAGCATCTAACATACACTTGAAAAATAATTTATTTTTTATTTTAAAATTCATGCTTCCTTTTCTATCGAAGTAAAATGTATTCATCGGCAAGGTGTTTTGAATGAAAATAAAATCCCTGTGTGACTTTTTAGTTGTCAATTTTATAAAATAGCAAGTGAAACTTAAAAAAAGGTTTTAACAATATAACTACGTTGATTAATGATAAAATATTCTTTTTGCAATAATCTGTTAAAGGTGCATGCGCAACAAACATTGTCATAAAAAACATAGGAAAAACACTTAACACAAAAAGCAGTTTATCAAAGTTCAATAACTCAATTTCACGACAGATTAAATCTTAAGGTATTGGCAATAAGCCCTGACAAACACTCGCATACACATGCTAATATTTACAGTGTTTCGTGTGTAAAGTTGATTTGTGTAATGACACAAACGTCATGACTATCAAATAAATCTACTGGTTTGCATAAATATTGTCTTGTTCAGTAGGAGTATCATCAATGCCTTTATTAGTTTTTGTCTTCACATAATCTATATCAGCATATTCTGTAGGGGAATCTCGCCGCTTGGCAACTGCTGCTTTTGATGGAGTCTCATTTGGATCAAAGGCAAGATCAGCATATAGTAATTGTCCGTCCTGTGCATGTTGGGGCTTAAAATTAAATCAAACACAAACATAAAATATACCTATTTTACAGATTTCATAATATTTAAATCTAAATGTATACTTCATGTGATGAAAAATGTTCAGTCAAGTAAATTATTATATCAAATATGCAGATGACCTTACGCAAGCCATCACAACATCTCTATATAATTATAAAACAAATGTAACTGTGATAATTGTACACACCTTTTCCGTCTTTGAAGAAGAAGCTGATTCTCCTGGTTTGTTTACTTGCGCATATGTATTGACCGAGTCTTCAATCGTTTTCTTTTTAACTGGTTGAGAATATACAGGTACTTCTGCTTCGTTCTCAAGCGCATGCGCATTCTGATTAAGGTTTCCCAAAGGACGAACCTCCGGGTTTTGTTTAGAAAATCTGCAATCGTATACACATGACCATGATTCTGATGATTGTTTTTTTAAGATGAAAATTAGATTTAAATTGAACAGTCTCAATTGTAACATGGCACAAATATGAAATATACAAATCATTTAAAAAAAGTTTAAGTTATTACAATATCATGTGATAAAACAATCAAATTTTGATCGTTAATGCTTAAGATATATTTAAAAAGCCAACATAAAATAATTTTATGCACATATACGTTTGTATATAGTTGCAAAAAAAATTAGATTTTTCTGTTGTTTTTTTTTGTACTACCTGAGACAAATGTCTTAACTACAAGTTTACAAAGAAGCTAATTCTTTGATAAAGTATTTATTAAGAGTAAAGAGACACTTACACTATATCATCCTCATGCTTGTGATAATCTACCTGGCTGTCCCTCTTTTCTGTAATGTTTAAGAAAAAAAACATAAAAAGAAATGCCAACATAACTAATAATGTTGTTTGTAAATACAAAAACATTTTGTAATTATAGATAAATGTTATTAAATGGGAATAAGCTTAAAATTAATATTGAGTGCCTAAAACGATAAAAAGACACTTATGCAGACATGTGGCTTGCTTACACGATACTCTTGTACAAAATCGGACAAGCTTGTTTTTAATTTGTTAAGCTCAGTCCAGGGTCTTTTAGTCAAAGGACATGCTTCATGTAGCGTACTAGAAAACAATTGGTATAAATGTTCTCTTCATGATTGAGCTAAAAGAGATATTTTGATGATTTAAACACTGTATGTGTATGTCGTACATTTTAATATTTTATGCGTATTTTTGTTTCTTGAATGATAAGGAATAATATGAGCGCAAAAAACAGCACTGAACAATTTCAGTGCTTAAACAATCCATCGTATGAGTTCGGTTTTACTTTCCGTATTCAATGGATAATTTAATTTTAAAATTGGCAATTTATTTTTATTTTCTAAATAAGTGTCCCGTTCCTGGACGGCGGTATATACAACTATCAAGATTTGGTCATTTAAACACTGCATGTGCTAAGCCAATCAGAATTGAAAATTGAATACCACATGATAACAAAATGGATGACAAAAGACCTTAAAAAGTTGCGCCGTTGGAACAGTAGTCTGCTTTGTTTTGTTTTTGTTTTTTTTGCTCTCTTCTTTTTTTTGATTGTCGGGTTACCTGTATTTAGAATTGAATAACTACTTTCATGTACGAAGCTCGGAACCTGTTTGTAGACTCCTGCGGGGTAAACAGTATCCGGTGTATTTCTGTTAAAGGAAGAACATTTACTCTATTGTTCAGGAAGAAGTCAATTTGACGACAAAATTTGGAATACCCGGCTGAATTCTAGCATTTGTGTAATAGCAACGCTTGATAATCTTTACAAGGCACTGCAAATGACACTGTTTTTCATAGAAGATATATTTAATGTCAATCTTACCTGTAGAATTTAGGCGTTTTTTCCTGATGACAACAAACAAGACCGCTATAACAATGATACCGACCACAAGTACACATGCACCCAATATTATCCAAATTATGGACTTGTCTGAAGCTTGGCCAGTATTTTTCTGTTTATCATTGTTTTTATTGTCTTTATCGGCTTTTTCTATATAAATATGAAATTGTTTCCTTATGATGAGCTAATGACTTACTTAAATTATTTAACATGAATTTCATTTTTCTGTTTATCATTGTATTTATTTCTTTATCGGCTATTTCTGTGTAAATATGAAAATTTTCCTTATGATTAGCTAATGACTTACTTAGATTATTTAACATGAATTTCACGTCTATGATTATTTATTGGTCATGCATTTTAATGCCAAGAAACAGAATATATATATATATATATGAAATCAATTTGTATCAAGGGTAAAAATTGAGATCATGTTTAGTAAAACTTGCAGGAAAAACGGACGTCTTGAAGAGTGTCAAGACTTTGCAATGAATGGGATTCATTATAACTTATGTGTGGAAAATATGTTTGTAAAATGAGTCGTAAGATGGACAGGAGCATAGGCAAGCTGTTAACAAGTATCATATCGGAAAGAAAGTTGAATCATTTTAATGGAAACGCTTCAAATTATTAAACATTATTAAAGTAATAAAATGCGAACGACATTTTGCTTTTCAAATTGTAACTTTAACACTCTGTTTAACAAGGTTCAGATTCTTGTTTTTGGAAATTATGATGAAAATATTTACAGAAATGCTGAAACAAACAAATGGAATGTAAAACCTATTATACCTTTTATGTGTACAGTCAGATATTTTTGATCAACTTCTGCCTTATAGTGAACTTGGCACATAAAACGTCTGTTTGAAACTTCATCAGTATCAATATTTAATACGCAAGTTGGTGACAAATTACATTGCTTCTTCCTTATGTTTCCATTACTTAATTCAATCCATGATATATTGGAGGCAGGAACGCTTTCAGCTTCACATTTTACATGTGACCGCTCTCCTTCAGAAATATTCAATATCGATCCAGATATATTGAACTTTATAACTGGAGGGACTGAAATTTGATTTCAATACAATATCATGTTTGTCATTATAAGATAAGAGATTGGTACAATCGGAATATTTATCTCGATGATAAGCTCATATATGCAGATACAGATAAGGCACAAACGCAGCAACAAATAAATCAGAAAAAAGTTAATTAGATTACTTGACAATGAAACAAAATATCACAAGAGTGATATTTCAAATTCTATTACTACGTTTGGAAAATAAATATAATGCTTATTCAAATGTTGAAAAAAGTGGCAGTGACTTACAAGTTTAAACTATTTTTCGTCTTTAAAGCGACAGTGTTTTGTGATTTTTCAGGTATCTATCTAAATATTGATTGTGATATTTATCAACAGAATTGACGAAATGTCTAGAAACTTACAAGGTAGAAGTATTTTGACAGTGTCTTTAAGGTCAACATGAAACTCGTCACACTCAACCATACACGTTACATTTTTGCCATTGTCTTCTTCACTGACATTCAAGTTTACTTCATACACAGAATTCCACGCACCATGGGGTAGACTTATATTCTCTGAAGACTTTTCTGATCCAATGATACCGCTTGGAGCTTTAAACTGAACGTTGCAGACTGGATTCGAACCATACACAGTGCAAGTAGCATACATTTGACTGTCTTCATCAACTTTCACTTCTAACATCACATCTGTGGGAGGAACTAAACAAAACAAAAAGAAACTAAACTTACATATACTGTTCAGTTATTGTTAAACAATATAATGTTACGAGTACAGGCTGAAACTATATTTTTTCCAGAATATGTTTGTTTGTTTTGCTTTAGTACACATACTTTTGATACAATATCATCACAAAGTCTTGTAAACATCAGTCTATAATAACAGTAAAACCTCACTAGTGAGACCACTGAAGGGACTTTGCAAATCTGGTCTTAACAGCGGGTTGGTCTCAAGAATGAGTTTGGTCAACCGGAAAACCATGTATATCAAGTGAAAAGAATTAAAAATATAGGGGCACTCAGCAGACTATAAATGAAATATGATATTATGTAGTACATACAAAATATTAAATAAATCTAATAGAAAACAATCTTACAATGATAATTGACTTGTTTTGGCGGTGAACAGTCCCGCACATTTGTGTACCATTCATTATATCGGCAGCACGTGATGTTTTCTTTATTCCATTCTTTCTTAAATGTGGTCAGAGTGATAATGTTGGTATTTAAAGATGTAGTCGAATTATAAAAGTGTGATTTTGCAGACGATACTTCTGAACCGAAAATGATAAAATACACATTCGGATTAGGTCTTCCATCATCCAACGTACATGTGATGTTAACAGCTTCTCCGTCTATTAGAATTTCCGGCACCGAAATTTGAAACTTTGGTGGTTCTGTCAATAAACAAATAAAGGTTATATCACCTTTAATAAAAACATAAAACTGAATGAGATTTAATTAATCGACTCATTTTGCTGATAAATGCAGTTAAATTTAAGGTAAATGTCATTTTCTTTCATTTAAAAATGATATAAAAACAAAATCGTTTTCAAAAAGGAAATTATTTTAACATTTGGCATTTTGCGTTGTTTCAAAGTGTAATAAAATCGAAACATCACAATTAATAAAACATTCATATCAAAGGTATAAAATTTATGAGATTAAATTAACCAAAACACATAAAGTAAAGTTGGTAACGTTTGGTATTGTAAACAATGTGTAATAGTATCCAAACATACCATCTTAAATACACATAAAGTAGCTAAGTATACTTACTTATAACAAACATCTGAGCAATAGCGTTTAAAGGTGACGCCAATGCATCGTTCATGACTGAAAATATCACACTTTCCATGTGATGGTGGTCCTTGACCCGGAAAAATACCATAAAGGTTGTCGAATTAAATTCTTGAGGTTTATATGACTCATTTCCTATTGTCATAGTAACTGTAAGAGGACGGAAACCACCATGTATCTCACAGGCAAGTTCGAACTCATCATTATCCTCACCAACAATACAGTCCCTGCACTTTTCTATGTCTTGTAATCCAACTATTACAGGTGTACTTGGTGCTTCTGAAAAAATGTAAGAAAAAGGTTAACTGCAGAGAATTTGTGATCGGGTTTTCTGTCTTTATTTCCTTTATTTATTGTTTGAAATTTTCTTTTGACATCGTATTGATATCTTTTACAAAAATTCATAAATATACAAAAAACGTCATTTGTGCAAGCAACAAGATTCGTGCACATTTAAAATGAAATACATAAACTGGTATGATGTAAGACACACTGTTACTATTTTGTCTACTTGATGTTTTAGTTTTTAAAAGGTACCGAACGTACGTTATTTGTTAGGAAAGGACTGGAATTAATTTAACTTTCTGAGGTAAGTGTTCCGTTTAGTGTAAGTTTACATCAATAGCTTGTGTGCAAAATTCCGCATCATTTGCTCACTCCGTTTTTCCATAATAAATACTCTAAAAATAGACCCATAATTGAAAAGCGTTGTAATGCTTTTCAATCAAGTCGGGCTAAGAGTAGCATAAAATACGATATTCATTTTTTTCTATCTTAATGATTTTAAGGTCCTAGATGGTCTACGTAAAATTTTCAAATAAAATGCATTAGATGTTTTGATCTTAGTGGAGATCCAAAGTAGTTTAGAAACATAAAACCAACCTGGTAATTTCAACAGTATATTGTTTGTGTATAAGCTCTGACCACAATAAACACTGTATCTTCCATTCATAGAAACACTGAACATATTAATTGTCAACACATATTTGTTATGTTGCCCCACTTTCTCTTCGTAACTGCCATCAGCCAATATCAACGTTTCTGATTTTGTGTCGACAGTGTGTACCCAGTTTCGTTTGAAACTAACGCTATTGTCCAACACATACTTTGACGGGTAATATTCTATTTTTACGGTCTCATTCTTAATCAACTTCTCAGATCTGAGGTATACTAGTCCACAATTTCCTGTATCTGGAAAATAATTTTTAGGTAACTGATTTCAGGTGTTTAATTAAATAACATGTTCGTTCTTTAGTTTCTAAGAAGTGTTTTCTATGGGCTTGATTCTACGTTGCAGAAATACAGTCGTTGTCATATGGGCACGAACTGGCACATGAGATGTACTACCAATGGCCGTAAGCTAACTGTATTTCTTCCTCATATGAAAGATTCAAATGTCCGTATCGATATTGGCGGGCAAGTGGTTTAAAGTCAACGACCTTAACCAATTAGTCATAGACTCGGGTAAAAAAATAAGACGCTCATGAATAATCGTAGAACAGATTCTGTGTTTCACTATTAAGAAATTCAGTTTGTTGCAATTTATTTAGAACCTCTACTGATAAAAGCAGAGTTATTCATATTACCCACATAAAGAGATCAGATGAGCCTCGATCAACAATAAGTAAAATCTAAAAATAAAAGAAGAAAAAAAAGAACCACTACCGGGTGTAGAAAACACTCGACTTTGTTTTTTTTATTTCTTGTTTCTTGTGTGTGCTCTTTCTTGTTGTTCTTTTTTGAATATTTTGTCCCCTTTTGTTTTTAATTTACGTTAATGATATTGCTCATTCCCTCTAATGCCCTATTAAGTATAACACGCTTTTTTGCAGTTGATTTATCTTTAGCAGTGTCTACAAAATAACATAGAAAATTAACTCAATCACGATCTTAACATGTAAATAAATGGTTATACTTACGTCTAGAATATGCTTCACTTTTATGGGATAGCGGTACCCAGTATGTGAAAGATATTTTAAAAAAATTAGCGTATTAACAATATCAATGTCCATTCAAAGCTTATTTAAAAATAGGATGGGTATATTTGGCAGAAAAAAGAAACATTAAAAAAAACAAGATAAACAAAGAGAAACATACATTGTAATTTACTGTCATTATCTTTAACACAGTTATTTCCCGCTGTAGTACAAAATGCAACTGAAAATCACTATAGTTTAAGGTAGCTCGCTACTTTCCGACCGAAATATGACAACATCTCAGATCTTGATGATTTTTGGTATACAGACATGTAGATATGTAAGCTTTACTTCTGCAGTATTATCTTATAAATAAACAGCGTTACTATGACGTCAAAGCGCCCTCTATCGGTGGCAGCGAAATTGCGTCTTTTTTATCAATAAACCGGTCTGTTCTTATCAATTTTCATCCGATTTCCTTCATTTAAATTTTATAATGTTCAGTAAATGTATGTCTTTGTAACGACGTCTTCCTTGAACATTTGCTTAATACTCTGCGATTCTACGTTATTTTCCCTCACGTTCTGACGTCCATATTTGATGCAAATATCGCGCGATATCGCAATAAAGATTGTGAAATAATAAAAAATCAACACGGTGAATTTTGCTATAATTTTTTTAACATGTAGTGAAGTCATAAAAGAAAATATTTATGCAATAAAAATAAAAGTTCAACGCGTAAGATATTTTGCTATTACTATTTGAATATAAAATAAAGGGTGAGTAAAACGTAATGATTTTGGTGACGTCAAATATTTTTCTCAAAGAAATTTTCACGACTTTTTCGATTAATATCATACTGACAGGAATAAAAATGTGTGAAAACCATCAACAACAATAGTATTTAGACATGTTCCGTAAAAATGTTTTTTTTAAAGTCCTGTCAGATGCCTGCATTTCGATGAATACATGTATCTTCAATTATATACATGTACAACAAATCAGGGTATATAATTGTCTGCAAAAGTTGGTATCAATCTCTGAAAAACTGCAACGTATGGATATAAATACCTCGAGGACTGAAAGACAATTCAGAATATTGAAAGATATAATTAAAAGGCCACCTAAGTGGAAATTATAAAAACATAAATTTTGCAAAGAATGTCAGAAAAAAAGAATGAAAAGGCTGGTGCAGTCGCAATGTCATCATGTTATGTGTATCCAGGTACAGCATAAACTTCCATGTTATCATATGTAACAATTTTGAATTGCATATATCAGTTAGTAGGAACAGAGACATAGATAACATCTATGTCTCTGGTAGGAAATGAATCAAATTTACGTTTCAAAAATATATGATCAACTGGAAGTAGCAACGATTTGTACGTAAGTCATGATTCACTGGTAGTCTTAATTATATTATAAAATCTAGCAGACATTAAATTCAAAATTTTCTACACGTATAAAAATCTATTTATTAACAGCCATCAGTTATTCTATTTTCTCTCGCAGCTAAATACCCTGCACTAAGCGTGAGACTCAGATTTAAAGCAGGAATCACGCTCTCATGCTATGGCTTTAATTTATCACGTATTTCACATAATTACAGATATTCTTATTTATTTTAAACTAGCTGACTCGCGGTATGCGTTTACTAGCGCATCTTTGAGGCGACCTGAAGCCGTGATCATTTCTCGATTAGAGACGAAAGATCCGTTGATTTACTTTGTATGTTCAGAAGCGGAGAATTTTGCATATTAAATACAGATTCCCTTGTATTGAAGGCGATTATGTAGGATTCTCAATTTGTGTGATTATGGTTGTGGGAGAAGCTCGTTTTGGTCTGCACATAATGCAGTGCTATGTAGAGCCTAATAAATAAGTATGAAAATAATGAACTATGCATTTTATGTTTTATATCTTCTTATTTTTTTAATATTAGGTTTAACGCCGCTTTCAACAGTATTTCAATTATAGCGGAGGGAATTTAACGAAACCAGTGTTTCTCACAGTATCAACTTCTCTTTGGAAATGAATGACAGGAGTCCGAGGTGGACCTTGAAACATTTCATACACAGTAAACAATTCTAAATGATAATCTATTAGTACAATACGCAATCGTGTCTCGAATCCATGCCTTCCGAATTCAGCGTAAGACCACTTTACCGATTACAACGTGGCAACAGAAGAAAATTCAAAGTTAAAAACCTGATTATGATCTCCCTTAATAAGGGAGAAGTCCACTTTATTGCTAACATAATAAACACATGTTTTTGGTGTGTGTTTTGAGGTTGTTTTTTTCTTGTTTTTTTTTTTATTTTTGTTTTAAAGCAAACTGTATTGTATTAAAAATTGAACAAGATAACGACAACATAATACATTATTCGTATTCAGTGGTAACAAAAGTTGCACAAGTTATTTGATAATTATACTTTGTATTTAATTAAAATATACAGTATAACCTTTACAGAGAAATGCCCTTTGTTGCCTAGAGTGGTTGCTCTACAGAGGTAAAATGTAGTGGAACTCTTTAGAAATAAATAATACTTTGAGGGCCGCTATGTTATACTGTAATGAAAAAGCGGTAATGAATCCGAGTTGAGTAATGGTTATATATTGGGTGTTTCACATTCGAGTCTGCAGTTGCGAATATGCTTATATATTTTTTATTCAGTATGATTTTTGCTTCCAAAATAGTTTATAGTTTGTCACATGAGCGCTCATTTTCTAATTATCATGACATTTTAATTAGATTATAATTATATATGTATTGCGCAGACTTAAAAATGGTTAGCAAAAATAAAAATAAAATAAAGGTTTTTGTTTCTTGTACAGTTTGTTTTTTTAAATATTCTTAAAGGGGACTCCACTGAGGTTGAAAAGCCAAACACATAACATTTGAATTTCTTACATGAATGAGCTGGGACACTATAAACAGAAATATATGCGAAGATAGTTAAGAAATATACTTCGAAATAAATTGAAAATCGTATTTTTATGCTTTTGTTAGCCCGATTTGGTTGAAAAGCGTTAAAACGCTTTTCATTTTGAATAATTATTCTGGAAAAAACGAAGTGCGCGAATGCTCTGAAATTTTGCACAAAGATTAATGGTCTAAACCTTCATCAAATGGTACATTTATCTGGAAAAAAATATTTTCAGTTCATGTCAAAAAACCTCAGTGGAGTCCCTTTAACATATTTGAATATTATTTCTGAATTTTATTTATCACTTATTTCGGCACATTTGTATGCTTATCTATTTTAATTGTATTTTTACGATGTGTTTTGACACCGAGGCTCGTCTGCCTTTGTGTGATTTTATGAAAGTGTTTAAAGGCTGAATGTAACGTAAAATAAATATTCTACGGGTATAAGCTAAGCGACCTAATATTCTTACTTCATTCATACAGCAATATGTGAATCTTATTTTTTGCGCTGAAACTAGTTAATTCATATAATAATATAACACTTTAACAACATCACACATTATAAAATTAGAATTAAAAGATGTATGAGACTGTGTCCTGCAAATTAGGAAAGTATTTTAAAAAGGGGTTGTCGGATTAAACATTGTAAATGTGCTCATCTAGCGCATGTTTACAATGAGAAAATAATCAACAAATTTAAAAAATATACATTTCATCAAGTCCCTGTGTTGTTTATATAATTTTTGACGTAAGAAAATTGTTATTTGGTATTATTCTTTGAACTCCAACATCTATTAACGTCACCAAAATCATAAACGTTTCACTCACACCTTTATTTTTATTTTTAAAAAAAGTAATAGCAAAATATCTTACGCGTTGACCATATATTTTTATTGCATAAATATTTTCCTTCACTATCTCACTACACGCTCGGAAAATTATAGCAAAATAAACCGTGTTGAATTTTTTTTATTACACAATTTTATTGCGATTTTGCACGATATTTGCATCAAATATGGACGTCAGAACGTAGAGAAAAATGACGTAAATCGCAGACTATAAAGAAAATGTTAAAGAAAGACATCATTTCAAAGACATACATTTACTGAACATTATAAAAATTTAAATGAATGAAATCGGATGAAAATTGATAAGAACAGACCGGTTTATTGATAAAAAAGACGCAATGTCGCCGCCACCGATAGAGGGCGCTTTGACGTCATAGTAACGCTTTTTTTTTATAAAATAATACTGCAGAAGTAAAGCTCACATATTTATATGTTTGCATACCAAAAATCATCAAGATCTGAGATGTTGTCATATTTCGGTCGGAAAGTAGCGAGCTACCTTAAGAAATAACATTAAACTATGTTATATTCAGAATAAATTATCCCATCGTCAATACAGCTTTGGAATGAATTATCAAAAGGCATTTGAGAATCAATCACTTAAGCAAACTTTTAAAGAAAACTGAAAAAACCTCCCATTTGTCCGTCTTTCTTTATAATATAAACAGTGAACGTTCACCAGCATTACACCATACACGTCTTGAAAACAAATGCAGTACTTTAAGCTCCGACTTATAAAACAATCGTATCATCCAAAAACCAAGCGTGTGAACTGAGTGTTTCATTTTAAGCGATAACAGTCAGGGAAGAGTTACTTCCCTTACCGGATGTGACGTAAATGGGGGATAAAACTATGCAGGCCGCATAGAATGTTAGCTTATTGAAATGTTAAATGCGTAAATACCGATCGTTCAATTATGATTATAACATGTAAAAACTTACACATGCATACATAAATTCAATATCAAGACAATAGAAAAAAATACAAAAAAAAAAAATACATTAAGATTAATTCTCGCTACGGAGTGAAACAGCAAAACTTCAAAGTGAAGATATTTATTACATCTAGATTTTCCCTAATGTCAGGATGAAAAGTTAGTAACTAAATCAAATTTTGATATTTTATAAACACCCATTCACACTGAAATTGCCTATATAAATTTAAATGGCCATTTTCTAGTTTTCTTTGTTATTTTCTGTCATTTAGAAAATTCCGGCGTATTTGTGACAAACATGAAAGTAAGATTGCAAATGTCTTTTAATGATTGTTTTTCAAGCTTTTATAAAACGATAACAGAATGCATTATGTCAATACTTACTGATTCTTTTTCATTATGCCGTATAAAAATATTTCAAAGAACCAGTGAAGGATATAATTTTATAAATATTCCGGAAAGAACGAAAACCATGTGGCATTGACTTTTATAATTTTAGATTCGCAACAGACGATAATAAGATAATTTTGATATTAAGAATCTATTCTTATGGTAATAAAAATAAAGATCTTTTCCCAGAAACTTATTTCATAGATAAATAGATGTGTTTAAGCGCCACTGGGCCGTAACATATTAATTAACAGGGTGCATAATTATGTTGTATATACAAGCGGCACTTGGCTGTGATATCATAAATCACCAGGGTGTATTTTTTAGAGTTATACCATTACATCAGATTACGTCAATTTTGTTAGTAAGTGAAAACTGTTGTCAAAATATCTATGGTCCGAATTTTGTTATGGTTCATCCTAGGGACTTTATTGGTCATGCCTTACTGATTTGATACTCGATCCAGAGTCCTACCAACTGGCACAGTCAAAAATACGTAAAATTATAATTCAGTTAATAGCGTATTTCTCGTGTTTCACAACTTGTTTTTTTTCCAGATTTTTTTTTAATATTTGATAAGCATTGTATGAATTAAAAGTATCAAGTTGAAAATATTACTTTATTAGCTTAGATATATTGGTGTGATGTACGATTTTTTGAGAGTGCATGTTTTGCCGACACAAATAGTATACTGTCATGTACATTCAAAATAACTTTTACTTTTCATGCCTTTATATTTTATTTGAAATTACATATATTTATATTGTTTTTCTTTGTCTTAGTAATGCTTAAATCAAAATGATTTTTAATGAGCTAGTATCTTGCAATTAATTATTACGCAGCCGTTTTTCGAATTTACAGAATCCTTACATTTTTGAAACTCAAAATATATTTTGTATATTGTATATTAGCAGAGACATAGATACATTATCTATATCTCTGGTATTAGCAAGTTAGTACGATTTAACTGTCTGGTAAAATTTTCATTATTAAGAATCTGACGAAAATGGTAATCATGATCAGTTACCCAGCAATATGGTCTTCTATTAAAACAAATCGTTTACCTTATTATAGTAAACATCTTTATTCATTTCACCATCTTTTTCATGTAATATCTTATTCAATTACACAAAGTTTTGGCAATTTCAATATTCCAATACGGTCTTAAATGAAAGGGTCTATAGAGGATGCTGAATTAAAGACATTGAAAGGTTTATATTGTTTTACAATATTTGATTTTATATTTTCGACTTGTTTTTATGATTTTATACAAATCAAACTGTCAAAATCCTGAAAAAATACTGTTGAGAGTAGGCAACGTAGTTATGTTCATCTATGAATTTACTTATGTTTAATTTTTCTCTAGTTAATACGGGGATGTCAAAGCTTTGGCAATAGACTACACGTGTGTATTTAAAAGGAAATAAAATTTGATAATAAAATAAAAACATATCGATATCAGTGAAATTCATAGTCTCATTTCTTATTTTGCGCCGTAACGTAATAATAAACGGCAAGTAAATATTCCGAGAATGAACCAATCGCACTTATCGACTTACAAGGTATCAATAAAAGCCGAGGAATTCTGATTGAAAACGGACACATAAACTGGTCTCCTGCGCAGCATAGGTTAAGGAACCAGATTAAACAGAAACAGTGCATAAAATACCGAATGACACCTTTAAAACGGAAATTAAAACATAAAAAAGAACATCTTTTATCTGACTTCCACTTTCATACGGGTATGTCACAGGGCGGGTCAGCAAAAAGGGGCCGCGCTTTGGCTTGCCCAGTATAGACTACACGTGTATATTTAAAAAGAAATTAAATAAAAATAATTAAAAATAATTATTTAGATTTCTATACATATCATCGAAATGTTTAACATTATTTTTAGATTGGCGCCTCCATTTTTAATGTAATTCATGATAAACGCCGGGTCATTCCAATGACAGAACAAATCGCAACTTTTCGGCAAAAGAATTTAGCCGAGGTTTTTCCGATTGAAAATGAAAGCTGTGTATAAAATACCGTACGACATCTTTAAAACGAAAATATCAATTAAGAAATGAAAGAATTTTTTATCTGACTTCCCCGCTCATATAGGCTAAGCCTTCTTTCTTATATGAATAAGGCAAAGCCTTAAAGCGAGCTTTTTGACAGAAAGTATAGCAAATTATAATTTAATCCTATTGGCGGCTAAACGACCACTCACTATGTACGGCTATTTAATGATTTCTATGATATCTAATTTGAATCCAATCGTCAGAGAACATAGACGGGAACCATAATAGGACAGGAAACCAGATTATAGTTTGGGTAATATGAAATAAGGCAAAGTTTTTGAACGGGGAAGTCGGTTAAAATAATCTTTTATTTTTATTTTACATTCTCCGTTTCAAGTGCCATTTGATATTTTATGCACTGTTTCCGTTTATTCCGGTTCCCTGTCATATTATGGTTCCTATAAAAAAGCGCCGGACACCAGTCTGCGTATCCGTTTCTCGACTTTTATCGTTATCTTGTAATTCGAATAGTTGCGATGTGTCAATTTTCCATAATTTTGCATCTGATAGGTATATTGAAAATGTTAAGCTTGTTATTAAATCATAACATATTTCCGCGTCATATCATATCCTAATTTCATATCATTACAGAAGTATCGAGCGTCTTTCTGCTATATTTTGTGTTTTGTTAATGGGGGTTCTTTCACCTATACGTGCCGATCCCTGTTACAAAACATACTTGGAAGAGAATATAATATCATATTTTATTGATTACTATACACATTGATACATCATACCTTCAAGCGTCAGTTTCCCAGCGTTCATCCAGCAATGTGATGTCTCATTATAATAATGAACTCGGTAAAATCTTCCGTCTTGGTTTTTCTCACTGTCTGTTAATAGCATGTGGTAAATCATGGTATTTCTCTGATATTGATTAAACTTGTTGTTTAAAGGGAGCGTTTTCCATTGATCTATTCCATTCATGCTGCGCTGCCATTCTAGAATTGCATTTGGATCATACGTGTCGGGGGTAAAAGAAAATGTGACATGCCGTCCTAGTATTGTGGGTTTGTCAATACTCAATTGACCACAATAACTCAAACCAACGTCACCTGTAGAATTATTCAATCATCAATTAAAACATTGACATTTTATCTTACTGAATTCATGTCTTGTTATGATAATTACACTTAACCAAGTTTCTAATCAATGTTAAATGTTTCGAAAAGTCCTCGCTATTATATCAATTTATATTGGCTTACATTTCCTTACATCCTTTATGCTAAAAACAGTACTTTTCAATTATAATGATGTTTTTACTTGTTATATCGGCGGATATTTGATTTGTAACAATACGGAAAGAGACAGAATATGCCGGACTCACTTTCAAGGACAGATAACTAAACAAAAACAGTATCCATTTTCCACATACATTTGGTTCATTTATTAATTTCTGTAATCATGCAATCAAGCTTAAAAACAATACTGTAGTTAAACAAGAAAACAAGTGTTTGGATAAAAAAAATGACATTTTAAAACTGTTTTAGGCCTCAAAGGGTGTTGAAAAGCCGCCAAAAGACGTCAATATGAGAAAAAAGGGTTTAAAATAATGGGATATTACACCAAAGTTCTTGATATCCAGAAGTATGATAAAAATAAGTCGCATTTGACTTTGTACCATCTGGGTACCACAGTATGCGTTAAAATGGTCCCATCGGAAATCCGCCATGCATTACAAGATTACACTTCTAAATCACAAAAAGAAATTTTAATTACTTGTCACTAATTATACATTTGTATTAAAAGATATATTTTTGCTCACCACATTTATTGATACCACACGCCTCCCTTTTATATTCATATGTTGTAAAACACCAGAGTGTGGTCTTTTCATTTGTAGTACGACAGAAATTAGCTGCCTCTGATATTGTGGCATCTGTGAAGTTATCATCATTATATCTATTGAACTGATCCCATCGTAAACACGGTTTGCCGTTAACCGTCGTCTGCTGATGGCCGTCGTACTCCCAAAGTGTTGTGTTATAACAGTCTAGCACTACACCTAGTGCACAGAGTAATAACATTAAGAAAAACAACATTCATACAATTCTGGAAAATTCGAGACTCGAGGATTTCGTTTTTATACTACAAGTCATAGATATAACAACATCTTTTTATAATAACAAAAACTGTACAATATTATTTATGTATTACAGTCTCATAATTACATTTATGCCCTTTTTTAAATTCATTTCAGTCTGTTTTTGTATTTTAGTAGAAATGTGTGTACAAATGTGATCTACGCTCATACTATTATCAAGCAGGTACTTTTGACCATTAACAAAGCATATTGTCTTAGCACGTAGACAATATGCAATGAAAGGTTCGGTTTTGCTGAAGTATGTTTCTGTATTGTTTAGTCCACTACGTTTCATGATTATTTTCCGACTACAAACGTTAACATTTGATATTTACTTAGATTCAATTTCACGCACGATTTCCTCACTCGATTTATCTGGCCTTTTTACCTGTCTGTCATTATTTTGCTCGTTCCGATGTCAATTTCGATTTAATTTTTTCGGAGGTCAACACATGACAAAACTGTGCAAATGGGGTGTGGTGATAAGTTATTGCTCTGATAAAATATGCCACAGTAAATATTACTATCGGAACACTCTCTTGAAATATACAGGAATTTAATGTCGATTTGCTTAAAATAGATAAGAAAATATAAACATACAAAGTTCCACTGCAAGTTAAGTCATAACTTTATAATTTGTATCTGATTGGTTTTAATTACAAATGCAGTAGCCGTAAGTGGAATGATTTGTAACATTTTTACATTAGATTTGGACCTGTGCTTGTTGAATAGACCAGAGAAGCACGAAAACAAATTTATTCCTTGTCGATTTATATTACAAATTTTAATGCAACAATAACAATACAATATTTACAAGTTCAACTATTTGTACCATAAGCTGAAACAATAAGGGAAGGGGGCTTAATATTTTAATCCAAGTTTATTTTTCAAGGGGAGCGGTTTTCGAATGGTTAGTGTTTCTGCCTCTTAACCCAGGGCCATGGGTTGGAGCTTCGCATGGTAAACGACAATGTCTTCTTATGAAGAGGCTTGAGGTAACGCAATTTAGATTGGTTCAAATAAGTTTCCAGGATTCATAAAGTAAATATGCTGAAGCTGATTTTTTTCTCTCGAAATTTGACTTGGGTAAGATATTATACAGGTTTCAGAGGTGGTAGAGGCTGTTTTAATTTGAATTTCTGCGACTAAGTTATCATTTTTTCAGCAGGAATAACTATGTATACAGAGAATAGGGGTCGCTTTTCTGCGACATTATGACAGGGTTGTCAGTATTTCGACCAGAACAGTACTTTCCAGCTTTCATTAGTTAGTTTGATTATTAAGTTGAGGTCAATTAAACGGGGCTAATATTCTAAGTTTCTTAAGTATTTTTATTCAGAGGGAGTCAGTATTTTATAGGAAAGGGGTCATCGTTCCTTGGTTGTGACTTTATTTTGTTACACCTGCCATGCTGTTGCAGAATTAAAGGAACTCCACGGAGGTTCAAACTCTTAACATTAAAAATTTGAATTTCTTATATAGATCAGCTTGGTATTTAAAACAGAAAAGATTTCTAAAAATAATTTAGAATATATATGGTTAAAATTGAAAATGGTATTGTTTGTGCTATACATAGCACAATGTGAGTGAAAAGCGTTGCAACGTTTTTCAATTTTGGGTAAATATTTTCACAATAAGAATAATTATTTTGGAAAAAATGGACTGTAAAGATGATTTTAAATTGTGTACACAAGTTATTATTTAAGACCTACACAAATAAAACATAAATCTAGATAAATGATTTCAAGCATTTCAAAAACAATTTCATAGTCCCTTTAAATTTCTTACATCAAAAAGAAGTGAAGCAATGTAACAAACTATATTCAAAGTATGGAAGCAAAGTCGTTTCGTCGCGTCATAGCACCAAAGCAATTTGATCGAGACCCATTATAGAACAATAATTGACCAATAAAAAAAACAACTAACCTTTGCTGGGTGTGATCACTGTTGATAATATAACCGAAATTATCGTGCATATATAACAGATATCCCTTGACATTTTATATATAATAGTATCCACAGTATTCATTATGATATATTACATAATTTCAAAAGAGTAAAAACTTAAAAGCTGCTGTAATTTTTATTCGTATCCATGTTTTAAATAAACCATTGTAACCAATTTCATGTAGTGAAATGAGTTGTGGGTTATATCTAAGTGTTTTTCAAGTGTGTGACATCCGGCCCACGCATTCGACTACTAGTACTCCAGCCAACAATATAAATGTAAAGTATATCACATAATATCTGTTGTTTCCCCTGTAATTATCATCAAACGCACATTAAGTGAAAACTTCCTCAATCATTATATAGTATTCAACTGGTTGTTATATTCGATTATGTTTTTGGATCAGATAATGGTTGTAGATGATATTGTACTGTTGGGAGGTCATGCAATTGATTGAATGATTAAAAAAGACTGTATAACGTTTAACAAAATCTTGTTAGCATTTACATTTTGTAATGTCTGTATTAAAACGAGCAATATTGCAAGTGATGGTATTTAAAATCCCCCTTTTTTCAAAGAACCAGATCAACGATCATTGACTTTGATCGTAAGTCATGAATTCTGCTGAAAAAATTGTAATAGCCAAGTCGTTATAGACCAAGTGTAAATTCCTACAGGACAATTTTATTTCCGTTTCCGGACAGGTGCATGATGACTTACATGCCAATGATTGTGTTATTTTTGGGAAGTTGATGCATCATAAAATCATTGAAAATCCTTATTTGGACTGTTCTTGGTTCCATTTTTGCTGCATCTATTGTTTTACTCAGCGTATGTGTTGCCATTGCATTGCATTGATTAAACAGAAAAGAACTAATGTTATATTCTGAACAACAGTGCTGTCATTTTCTTTGAATGTTAATATTCAATCTGATTTTATTTTATTTAGTATATCAAAACCTTTTATCTAATTATAAAATTATACGTCCACTCCAGTCATACAACCTGATCAATTTTACTCTTTTTAAACTCATATAATACATATCCTACAAGGAGTACAGTGTAGAAAAATCTTAAGTTTACTTAAGTTTACTCTTTGTTTTACATTCTAGTGCTGTTTTAGTACTAACATACGTGTCACCTTTAATACAAGCATCTATAATTTGTCAAAGGTTTTTCAACTTTTTAAAATTTAAAATGATAAAAGAGGATGGACATATTACAATTCCGTTTTGAAGACTACAAAGGGCTTCTAGTCACAATTGTCAAAACTAGTTGTGTGGTTATTTAAGCAGGAGGACATAATTTTGCTAAGATATCTATGTTGACCTATAGTTAATGGTGTACTTATTGTACAAGTCATGAATAAAATTGTTGTTCTGTTATGTTAATATGGAAGAATAAACCATATAAAGGAAAAATATAAAACGTGATATTTAGTACCCACCTGCGACTTGTCTAACGATTTTATTAAGCTGTTGTATATCAAAAGTGAAGAAATTCACGATTACAGACAATTTTAATTGTCTCTAGATTCCTCGTTGTGGACCTCAAAGGATATTTGTAATAATTACCTCAAAGGATTTTTGTAATGATTACGGAAATAAATGTTATTGTATGTTCCATGAGCATTAATGTCATGCAATTGTTTAGACCCTTTTACCAAACACTCATTTCCGTTTATGAAACTGATGATTTATATATATTGTCTACTCCTGATTTTTTATATTCCTTATTTGCAATTTTTGTTGACGAATGGCATCATATACAATGTATATTCATGTTTTAAAGAACTTATTTTTGTAAATGTAAATCTATATATGTGTTAAATGATTTTCGTACATTTAGGTCACTTGTTTTCATATAGAAACATAAGAATATAATAAGAAAAACAAGTATAAATAATTTGTGAATTTTTTTTCAATTCTGGAATATTCATTTTCAGTGATGTTAATATTTGATGAAAAATAGAATGCAATAACCGATGTTCTCCGTTTTGTTGCATATGAAACAAATTTCTAATATGGCTAGAAGATAAAGATAAATGTGGATGTTTAAGGAGAAAAGTACGCACAGTATATTAAGGTTTAAACACATGGCGTTCAGCAAATAAAAAATATAGAACATGCGCAGTGGTATAGGTTATGCTGACTATTTATTTTCATGTCAAAGCATTGCTAGCTCGGCCGTTTGCTGCTCAAACTAAAATTGCTAAATGTGTTTTGTCGGTGACATTAAAAAATTGTGATTTAGGGTATAAGTGTTTTGCAACTAAGCACTTTTTTACAAAAAACTATGATTGCACATCTGATATGGAGAACAGCTGTATTTAATATAGAAAATGACATACTAAGTATAATATGCTTACAAATTAAGCATATGAAAGGCATTTTTGCAGGAACAGAACGTGCATTCTTTTCAAAAACATGTCTTTTTGGTGTCTTTGTCGTATATTGTGTTCTTGATCTTTCTGTGTTCTTGAGTCCGTGTAGTAATACTGAATAAATTCTTGATATAAGCATTGGGGTGACCAACTCTTATGGTTGCTTATCAATATTTAACTTTAACTATGCTTTCATGAATGTGTCAATCTTACACTCTAAAAATAGTATTTTTTAGGTTCAGCAAATGAACAATATAGAACATACGCAGTGATATATTGGTTATGCTGACTATGTCAAGGCGTTTCGAGCTCGCCCATTCGCTGCTCCATTGTGTTTTGTCGGTGACATTGTAGATTGAGATTTTGGGTGCCAGTGTTTTGCATCTACGCTCTTTTTTACAATATCAATGCCGTTTGATATTGAGAACAGCTGTACTTTAATATAGAAAATTACATACTATATGTATAATATGCTTACAAATCAAGCAAATGAAAGGCATTGTTGCCGAAACAGAAACGTGCGTTATTTGCAAAAATATGTCTTATTGGTGTCTTTGCCGTATTCTGTGTTCCTGATCATTCTGTGTTCTTGATTCCGTGTAGTAACACTGAATAAGTTTTTGATTTTGTAGCATATACTAGCATTTCAAAGCGTAATTTAATAAAAAGATTAATTTCGGTAATTCCAGTTTCCTTCAAGTTGCATGCATGTAATGGCAAAAACAATACCAACTGTAATATTCTAGTTAATTGTATGTCATCATGCTAGGAAAGTTATGTATTTAGACATAGCCCATAGACGGTGTTAATATAGATTGTTACTGAATAAAATGGTACACACATGTTTATATTAGATGTTATGTTTACACCCTGAAAATACAACAATGGCGACGAGATAAAAAGAGAAGAATAGATTAAAAATAAATAATAAAGGTTGAAGCATAAACACACCATGGCGGGTATACCTCCGTTCCCGTCATTCGACATAGAAGCCGATAAATCTAGCGCTGCCCACAGATGGAACAAGTGGGTGAGGAGACTGGAAAATTTGCTCGTGGGGCTAAACATTACAAATGACGGCAGAAAGCGAGCTTTGTTACTGCACTATGCTGGTGAAAGAGTTTATGACATATATGACGCTGAAAAAGGGGACACTGGTACAAATTATGACGAAACTAAAAAAGTTATCACCGACTATTTCGCCCCAAAAGTAAACAAACAAATGGAAATCTATAAATTCAGGGCTTGTAAACAAAGTGAAAGTCAATCTCTAGATAAAAATGTCACAGAATTGCGGATGCTGGCTAAAAACTGTGAATTTGCAGACACTGAAGAAGAAATATTGCAACAAATAATTCAAAACTGCAAATCAAGTAGACTGCGTCGAAGAGCCCTCCGTGATAATTGCAAAACACTGACCGACATCATTTCACTAGGACGCTCATTGGAAATTTCAGATGAGCAAGCTGCTGCTATGGAATCTCCTAAACCGGCAGACATAAATAAGGTCAAAACATCACAAGACGTACCATATCGTGGACGAAGAGGCGCAAGAAGACCTACAAGAGGTGGTCAACAGTTTCGCCCAAGAAATACTGAAACTACCAAATGCAGAAATTGTGGAGGAAGATACCCTCACAATGGACAATGTCCAGCACGTGGCAAAATCTGCAACTTTTGTAAAAAGCCAAATCACTTCATGACAGTGTGCCGAAAAAAGCAAAAGGACCCAGAAGTTAGACAAATTGAAAAGAAAACTGATTCTTGTTCATCAGATGATGATTATTGCTATGCTTTAAAGTCCAATGTGTCGAAAACACCAAAATCAAATGTAAAAATCAACGACGTGCAGGTGAATGTATTGGTAGACAGTGGCGCTTCGGTGAATATTCTTGATGAAAATACCTACAGCATAATTGGTAAACCTCAACTGTCAAACAGAAATTTGCCTAAATTATTACCATATGGCAGCCAATCACCTTTGAAAATAATCGGAAAATGCAAACTAACAATTGAAAAACAAAAAATCATCAGCGTCGAGACATTCCACATTGTACAGGGCAGACATGGAAGCCTTATCAGCTATCAAACGGCATGCAATTTAAATATTATCGAAATAGTCAATCAAATACTAGAAAACAAACAAGAAGATGTGAAGCAAGACAAATATCCAAATCTTTTCAAAGGGATAGGAAAACTTCAAGACAAGACAGTTAAACTGCATATCAATGAAAATGTAAAACCAGTTGCTCAAAGACACCGAAGAACACCATTTCATCTGCGTAATAAAGTAGAAAAAGAAATAACAAAATTATTGGATGAGGACATAATTGAAAAGGTAGATAATGAGCCAAATCCGTGGATCTCACCAATTGTAACACGCCCGAAGAAGAATCCTGAGGAAATCAGAATATGTGTAGACATGCGCGAAGCAAATAAAGCCATTGAAAGGGAGAGACATTTGCTACCGACAATTGATGAACTGATAACAGACCTAAATGGTGCAAAAGTATTTAGCAAAATAGACTTACGTTCAGGCTACCATCAATTAGAACTTGATAAAGAATCACGATACATCACAAGTTTCAACACACATATGGGTATATACAGATACAAGAGATACAAGAGATTGAATTTTGGTATCTCGTCTGCTTCCGAAATATTTCAAGAGACAATTAAATCTGTTATTCAGGATATCGAAGGGACAAAAAACATATCTGATGATATAATATGCTTTGCAAAATCTCAACATGAACACGACAAAGTATTGGACAAAGTCTTCTGTAGACTCCATGAAAAGGGACTCACATTAAACAAATCCAAATGCGAGTTTAATAAAACAGAAATTACTTTCTTTGGTGTAGTATTTGGCAAAGATGGAATTTCAGCTGACCCTGTCAAAGTGAAAGCAATTAAAGAAATGCTACCACCAAAAACAGTAACGGAGTTGAAAAGCTTTCTAGGAATGACAAGCTACTGTTCTCGTTTCATCGAAAACTATGCAACAATAACCGATCCCTTGAGAAAACTTACGAGAAAAAAACAGACTGGCAATGGGCAGAAACTGAACAAGCTGCTTTCCAAGCACTGCAACATGAACTGTCTAGCGATACTGTCATGAGATATTATAACCCATTAAAAGCAACAGAAATTTACACAGATGCGAGTCCATGTGGTGTGTCAGCTATATTTACGCAAGAAAATGGCATTGTCGCATATGCTAGTAGAGCTTTGTCAGACACAGAATCCAGATACAGCCAAACCGAACGAGAGGCTTTAGGTGTTGTGTACGCATGTGAACATTTCAGCATGTATCTACGAGGAGCATCAAAATTCACTGTCATTACAGATCACAAGCCTCTTGAAACCATATGGAAAAAGAAACAGCCACCACTTCTAATTGAGAGATGGGGTTTAAGGCTACAACCTTTCAATATGGTAATTAAATATCAACCAGGAAAAGACAACCCGTCAGATTATATGTCTCGTCATCCAATAATGAATGAACAACATGATAATGTTGCTGAACAGTATGTAAACTTCCTTGCCGAAACTTCCACTGACAGTGCAATGCCACTGGATGAAATTAAACAAGAAACAGCAGGTGATAACACTTTGTTAAAAGCCATAGAATATGTACGAAAACGGCAAGTGGCATGAGCTGAAACAAATAAAAGATTGTGACATCAGTATGAAGATTTAACTCAGTTACGAAATGTGCGTGATGAATTAACTGTACACTCTGAAAATGTTCTACTGAAAAGCGGTAAGATTGTATTACCCACATCATTATACGCTAAGGCAATAGAGATAGGTCATGAAGGTCATCAAGGTATGTCAAAAACAAAAGCATTTGTGAGGTCAAAAATCTGGTTTCCCAGAATGAATGAATTTATTGAAGAAAAAATAAAGAACTGCTTAGCTTGTCAAGCAAACACTTATGAAAAGAAATACTCACCACTAAATATGTCAGAACTACCAGTGGGACCATGGCAAGATCTAAATGCAGATTTCTGTGGACCTCTACCATCAGGGGAATATTCATTGGTCATAACTGATGAATATTCAAGATACCCAATCGTTGAAATAGTCCCATCGGTCTCATCAAACAAAGTTATTCCAGTAATCGACAAGGTTTTATCTGAAATGGGTGTTCCAAGGACAATCAAAACAGACAACGGAAGTCAATTCAATTCTGATGCGTTCCGTAAATTTGTAAGGTACTGCGGATTCAATCACAGAAAAATTACACCAAGATGGCCAAGGGCCAACTCACAAGCTGAAAGTTTCAATAAACCACTTATGAAATCTGTGAAAACAAGCTACCTTGAAGCAAAAAAACTGGAGAAAGGAAATGTTTAGATTTTTGCGTCAGTACAGAAGTACTCCACATACATCGACTGGATACACTCCTTTCCGCCTGTTATTCCAACGAGAACCACGAACACGACTTCCAGATATAGGGACATCGAAACCTGAAACTAAAATTGATGAGCAAATACGCCAAAATGACGCTAGAGCAAAAGCGAAAATGAAATCCAATTTTGAGCAAAAACACAACATCAGAGATAGGTAGAGTTACAACCTGGCGATAAAGTTATAATTGAAAATGAAAACATTACAAAAACAACATCAAAATATATGCCCGTGCCATATGAAAAATAACAAAAACAAAAGAAATATGATTACCGCGAAGAACCAGAATCAAGAAATTACCCGAAATTCTTCCAATTTTAAGAAGGTTAGCTCCACCTTAAATAACAACCAAAATTTCGAAGAGAAGGACAGAGCAAGCTTTATGTCAACAACAGAAAAAAGCAAAACAGGCATACAAAATAACAACAGTGAAGAAATAAAGAAATCACCAAGAATAAGAAGAGAACCTAGTCATTTTAAAGATTTTGTCAAATAAAGTTTGTTCCTCATGGTGTAGTATAAAGGGCATAATAATCCCTCATGAGACTTATAAAAAAGTGTAGGTCATTTATAACCAAGTGTTCAAGTATTATACCAATTACAAATATGTTGTTTCTTTAACTTTGAACAACAACAGAACTTTAGTTAATTTGTGTGCTTGATATAACATGAACATTTCTTAAGTTACTTATTTAAAAGATATACAATGAACATGTAGACAAACTTTTAAGTAATAGTTCAACAAAAATATATAGTTTACATAGACATTTATGAACTGAAATTCTAGTCATGTAATTGATTTGATCTAGTCATTCAAAGGTTTTTATTATCATCTTTTTATTCTATACATTTAATTTCATAAATATGATATTCATTTTAGATTTAATGTATATCAAATTTTCTGACTAAGTTGGGAGGAATGTAATATCCTATAGTTAATTGTATGTCATCATGCTAGGAAAGTTATGTATTTAGACATAGCCCATAGACGGTGTTAATATAGATTGTTACTGAATAAAATGGTACACACATGTTTATATTAGATGTTATGTTTACACCCTGAAAATACAACACCAACGAATATTTTATTATTCTTAAAGCTGAGCCAAAACATAGGTCCATTTTTTCGTCAGATAAGTATGGGGATGACCAACTCTTAGGGTTGCTTTTCAATATTTAACTTTAACTCAGCTTTCATGAACGTGTCCATCTTACACTCTGGACAAAATCGTCAGTATGTTACTTTTAAATAGCGAAAACAATCGATCATGAAGTTGATATGGACTGGTCGTGTAAGTAGAGTCTTTCGCTGTCAGAAGCCTTAGGGTTAAAATGTTGCTTTTTTAATTTTCAGAGATTATGTTCACATAGTTTTTCCGCCGTATGAATCATTAGATAGTTCACCGTGTAGAAATGCCGCTTCGAACGAAAGATATTCGAAAGATATTCAACAATTATGTGATCAACCATCACTCAATGTCAATATAGGTGTGAAATAACTTTTGATTCCCAAACTATTTTGAAGTGAAAGGAGTATTGTAAATAGTGAAATAGATGTGAATAATTTTTACATTTTGAAATTCAAGAAAAACAAATTCTCTGTATCAAAAAGTATTTAATATATGTACATTTTCTAACTTATATTGAAATTTTATATCTGAACATATTTATTCATAGACTTGTTAGATATGGAAGTAAACGAAATAATGATGAATGTTTGATATTGATATGAAATGGATATTGATGCATATTATTTTGATATTGATGTGGAAGAAGTATTAATTTATACACGACACATTCGATACTGAAGTGAATCTAGTAGTAATACACGGCATATTCGATATTGAAGTGAAACAAGTATTAATACACATTCTAACACTATCGGAGATTTCTCTTATATAGAAAAGAAGGGCGGAAGCGTGATATATTTCACAACAATGCGCTAGCCGTTCTTATTTCCTCCCTCTGAATGTTCAAACCGACACATTGACGGCGATATTTTGTTTGACAAATCTGAAAAATAAAAATTCATTGTTATGCTGAATTTTGTTGTGAAACCTATCTACAATGAAAGAAATGTGTCTAACTAAGAAATAAATCCGACCATCAATATTTTTAATTCAGTCGTTAACGCTGTACAGACGTTTAAAGAGTTGTTTTCGTGATGTCACAATGTAGCGCCAAACAGCCCGTGCAAAAACAATCAAAACAAGAACGCTATTTCAATGTCGCAAAAGAGTTATATTTCAGATTTATTTCACTATAAATACTTTGTATTTCGCTTGAAAAAAAAAAGAAAAAAAAGAGTGAAATAAAATAAACAAACACAATTTTGTCAACGTTTTAAAACTAAGTTATTTAAAAACGACATTTTTTCAATCGACTGGAACAGCATTTATAGAACGTTTTTATTGGAAACTCTGAGGCAAAAACAAATTTAACCATCAAACATAAAGTCCAACTATATTATCATTTTTATATTTTTTCTTGACGTGTTAGAAAGAAAATAAACATTTATTCTTCGTGCGTTAAAGTATATCTATGCACGGGTTTCCTTCAAATGCTTTGCAATTAATAACTCAGGCCTATCGGCCTTTGTGATTATATAACTTTGCATTTGATCTCAAACCACGCATTAATCTACAACAATACACTCATAATTGATTTCCTAAGCATATTCGGTATTTATGTGAAATAACTATTGATATATTTATATAAGATATAGAAGTTAAAGAAATGTAAAAGAAATGTTAATACATATGAATAAATACATATTCTTTATATGACACATATTTGATATTTATGACAATGATAAAAATCAAAGATTTTAATCCTTAACAAGAAACATAAAATCAATAAAATGTACTAAAATGTAACATAATGAAAACTTACTTTCCTAAGCGGACATTGCTGCACATGACAAAATGTCAGAATTTTTGAACTTATCAAAAGTTTTGTCGAAATTACATTGTGGAATTCAATAATTATTAATTTTAAAACTTTGTAATTCACTCCGACCTTAAAAGACATCGCCGTTCATACTAGTTTTAATGTTTTGATACATCTGGTTTCAAATTATATTTAGAAACTTTTTGTGTGAATGATGTAAAATGCTTAATGTTTACAGACCCTTTGTTAAAAAAGCCCTTATGAAGAAGGTCACTAATTAGGTGTTGATCCTTCTAAGTAATTGTGTATTATTCCATCCTATGCATTGGTCGCTAGATTGAGGATTTTGTTACAATTTCATAAAGATTTGATGTTACTTGTATATGACTTAAGAAACAAAAGAAATCTCACATAGATCAGCTGTAGTTTATACAGCTAACAAAATCTGTAATAAAACTCATCTTATTTTCCTGGTCTACATAGTTAATTTATTTGAGTTTTCTAAATGAATACATTGAAAAGTTTGCTAGTTTTGACATTCCGTTATGCATATTTTTTAAAATTGTATTCTTTGTGAAATTGTAATTAAATATTCATGCATTAACTTTTCTTAAACTATATTTCAATATTGGAGGAGAAACAAAAGTTTAATTGCTGATTGTAAATAAATTTTATCTGTTCTGTAAGAATTCTTGTATATTCACCCCGTCTCCCGCCGCAATGGCCAACAGTTTTCTCATAATTTAACATGGCAGATTTTACAAGGATTTCTTGGAAAGTAACAATGGCAGATTCATACAATCCCTGGAAATAAAAATTGCATTATATATCTATTGACACCTGGGATTCTGGAAAATTAGAAACATGACGTGTCAGGTCCTGTATTACAGCCGTTAAACGTGGCCCGTACTTCTATTAAGTGTTGTTATATATTTACTGGTCATTCAGGATCCTTGATTCCAGCACTCTAAGTGTTGAAAATTGGGTAATATTCAAGCCGGTGCTAGGGTGCTTGAGGGATGTTGTACTTTTTAATTATCCCTCAAGTACAGACTCAATCAAACCGAATCTACAGTTTTCATGTAATATTGCTGATTTTTATGCTTTCGAGAGATCACTTTTTTTCCAGATATTGAAATAATCGCAGACTTGTGCGATGTACGTTGTTGGGTCCTCAGACGCCAAACATGTAATTATGTTGACTGGCATTTGGATACCTGCACGTCTGCATGTAGTAGCCTTTGATACATTCAAGAATTAATATGTTTATAATTGGCCTAAATTTTGTCAATTTTATCTCATTTATAATCTCTCTTACCTTCTCAAACTGAGATTTACCTAAGATTAATATAAATGATATATATTATTCTGAAAATAAATATTTATATATAATGGTGGTATGTTAAGTATTGATATGTGTGGATTAAGTATTGATATGTACCTGTGGGACACTAGTATACTTTAACTGACATGGATATTAACAAAAAGATTAGAAAATCTTTCAATTCCATTTTTTGAGACGACACCAATCTTTTTTCTTTCTTTTTTCATGCATTGTAACATAATTATGCAATATGATTATTTTTATGAGTTTATTATAAAATGCAAAATATTTCATTTCAGTTTTCTTTTTGTACTACTTGTAATGAAATTTATTTGCACCAACATCCAGAGAATACAGAATTTACATTGCCTACTTATATTTATCATCTGCCTTTTGTTATTTACCCTGAGGGGCTCTCTTATCAGCAGGGTACCAGGGTACTATATGAAAACACCAATACACAGCATGACTTTTGACATTTTTATCTTCTGAAACTGTTTTCTGCTCATGTATGATATTTTATTAAAAAAACAAAACTAAAAACAAAAACAGATCTGCATTAAAGTGAAAAGGAAGTTGCAAAAGTTTTATAATCATGTATTTAAATATTTTCTTTAAAATACATTATCTTCTAAATGTGTTAAAACTGACAAGGCAAATTTGTCAAATCTATAATAGAAAAAAATAACATTTCCCAGTTCAGAATCTAAAAGATGCTGCTAATTTAAATGAAGATTTGCAAGAAATGTGGATAAATATTGATATGAGGTCTTTCTAGAATAGTTAACTCTGATATTGATTTTAAACCAGTTTTTTTATGATAAGATTAGAAAATTCCACTTCAAAGACAAAAATGACAATAATATCTAACGGACTCATATCTAACATGCAATTATGCCATTATGATTATTTTTTACATTTGATTATACAAAAATTATAGTCATTTATCTATGTCTTACATGTATTTTGGAGAAAAAAACAGGAAATTTGAAATAAATATTGCGTATATCTGCATTTTGTTGTATACCCTGAGGCCCTCTTATCAGCAGGAGACCAGTGTAATGAAAACAGTCGCTGTCAGAAAAATACCACAGTGCATGGATTGTTTTAAAATCAATGAATTAATATTCTCTTTCAATCTTGAACATGAGTAATTGCCTCATTGGTTATATATTATTATGCAGAATGGCAAGAAATGTGGATAAATGGATAAATATAGAAAATTCCGCTTTAGAGACAATAATATCTAATATGCATTTATGCCATTATGATTATTTTTTTGTATATTTGTTTATACAAAAATTATGGTCATATATCTATACGACTAACTAGCCTGAGTGCAAGTGCCTGATGAACCCCAGGCTTATGTCTAAACTCGTCTAAACATGCATTTTGAGAAAACCAGGGAATTACAATGCATACTTATAATCTGCAAAATTGACTGTTGTTTATTATTTTCCCTGAGGCCCTCTTATCAGCAGGAGAGTGGTATAATGAAAATACCAATACACAGCATGACTTGAGATTTTTCTTCTTCATTAAAAGTATTTCCTTTATACATTAAATTTTTACTATTGAAATCATGAATAAAGTTATCAAATTTATTTATTTTATAGATATTTTTTTAATTATTTACATATGCAAGCATTATTCAGTTGAATACTGAATTATTACAGTATATTGATTGTTTTAAAATCAATGTATTAATATTCTCTTTCAATATTGAACATGAGGAATTGTCTTTAAGTTATACATGTATATTATAAAAATAATATTTTAGCTTAAATATAAACCTTTCGTAGATATTTTGAGCTTATGAAAAAAAGTTAATGTTGTTACAAACAAAATTAATTTGGCCAAAATTATAACATTGATTTCCCTATTTGTACACTAGAAAAATTGAAATACAAGGCCATTAAAAAGGCTTTAAAAACACATATTTAATTATCCATTACGGAACATATTTAAATTTAACCTTTTTAATTCTATAAATTTGATTTTAAGGGTATTATTTTACACTTACAGTAAATACTGGTTAATAAAAATATGATTACAATAAATATTTTTTTTTTAATTTCAAGCTTTAACATGATATCACCTAAATGTTAAAGCTGCTGATTTTAAAATTTACTTATTTATATTCATGAATAGGCCATATATTCCCAAAGTTATTTTTCCTACAGCAGCTTAACAATAGATGCCCCCTGTCACTTGATATGCAATTATCCAATAAACCATTTAGGTGTCACCTTCGCTGGCCAGCCTGGTCATATGGTCTAGTGCACTAGAAGTGCACACGGTGTACACTTCTAATTCAGCTCTAGTGCACTAGAAGTGCACAAGGGTGGGAAGTTTAGTGTGAACTCAACTGTATTAGTATATACAAATTTATTTAAGTTCAATAGTGTTTAGAGCTATAAGCTTATTGAAACACTCTCGAATCCGTTCCTGAAACCAACAATTTCTAAGTGATGAATGTAAAGTTCCTTGCTCAGGAAACAACAGCTTGCCTCTGACAGGGTTTGAATCCACGTAGTCAGCAATCCTGAGATTACCGATGAGTTGATTACTCGGCTATGCCACCACGTGCAATAGATTGGAGTCACGCAAGCCTCTCCATATGGGATTCATACAAAAATCTTTCCTTTAGCTATATACATGTATATAAAGGTTGCTCTTTTTTTTTGGTTATATATATTGAAATCCTTTCAACCTCGAATAAACTGTGCTAGATTCAAAGCAGGGAGTTCCGATTGTATAAATTCAGCTGGCAAGGAGTTTAAATTGAAAGTTTTCGTCTGCATTTTATCAGATAATAACATGTGTCTGATTTACTGAATATTTAGTGATTTCGGAAATTATATATAGAATTTAATAATCTTATCCTGTACTAAGACAGTTTTATATATATTAGGATGTTTAATTTTAAGATAAATTTTGTATTATGCTTTTATTTTTATAAATTATCAAAGGGGCATAATGCCACAGCAATATTGTTTTTTTTAATTCTCAAAACCTTTTTATTTTTAGTGTATATTTATAGTTATTCATTGACCAATTACCTGAACTATCTTTTTCTTCTGTTGCATTTTTGGCCGTTAGTGCAATTATTTTGATTTAGTATTTTGTATGGAAGTGAAAATACTGCTTTGTTTACATTTTGCTACTTTTGTGACAAACTATTTCGCATATAGTGCTTCTTTCGTCAGATAACAAGCATCTAATAATAGATAATAACATTGAAAAATAATTAAATTTTTTATAAAATTTATGTTTCCTTTTTTATCTATGGAAGTAAAAATGTAATTATTTCAAAAGCGTAATGCGCCTTTAAGGAAAAAAACTTAATATGACTAAAGTACACTTAATCTAGAATCTGGTTGAATCTTATCGAATACATTTATTGTATTGAAATATTTCAAAAACATTTTAACTTTGACGTTATTTAAAACAGTACAAAATTACAATATATTAAATACTTGTTCAGTATCAATGAAATAATTCAAGATATTCAATACATTATTCCGTTGTTCAGACGCATATGCGTGATGCATTTTGTCCGTACGTTACGGTAGTCTATGCTTTTAATGACGGTCCATCCGCCCTCTCAGGTCTTAAATGCAGTTCTTTTTTGTTCTGTCGGGTATGGACGCTGGACCTGTTATCAGACATTCTTCAGACTTATTGGAAGAATGGACCTACAAGCAATTTCAGTTAAGTATTAACAAAATATGTGAATTATAAAGTAAGTCATCGAACGGCGTAAAATGAGAGCCTAACAGTAGCAGTACCTGGGACAATATACAAAGGAAAAGGTAGCCCTGAAAAAACTGTTATGCCAGCTAAGGGCCTGTCTTTTAATCTGTCACACTCTGTGCTAGGGGCACCCCTGCCTTCTTTGCAAAGCCACTCATTGCTACCTCGGCAGTTGAGTCGTAGTTTGCGATATAAGCTTAATTCCCCAGAGACGATAGGGTAGTTTGGTGTCCAGGACCTATCTTTTATGTAAAAACAACTCATAGATTTTAACCAGTCAACGTGTCCTTGGTGATGAATCAGCCAGATTCCAAATCTTATGTCGCAACCCTGTCGTTTCTTCGTTTCTGAACGATATGCACGTACTGAGGGGAAGAGAGAGGATGCATTCAGATCCGTTGCATATACTGTATACATGTTATACATTCTACTTCCTTCATGTTATTTACGCAAGTTAAACAAAACTAGGTTCAACGTTTTAAAACGTGCTATCAAAATTATTGTGCAAATGCTCCTATAGCACATTCAAATAGCTTATCGTCAAACACTGTTTTCCTTCTCTTTTATCGCATTTATAGAATTTCAAATATCATAAATCTAAGTTTGTCGTTTCTGATATTTGACATAATCAAAGTCTACTATTTTCGTGATGATATTACTGAACATCTGAACTCCATAGCTTTCTATGAAATTGCAAAAATAAACCCCTCTCAAAATCATGATATAATTCCTAATTATTCGGTATTATATGGTGTGAAGTCAATGGGTTAATTTATCGTACTTTTGTATGGTTTGACTATCATGTCCTAACAATCAGAAATTGTGAATGGCATAATTTTGAAGTTTACACTTATTATTTTTTGTAAACGATTCTGATTGCGGAATATCTTAAGCTATCATAATTTAATCGAAATGTATTTCAATTAATACTGATGTTTTTCATAAATTTCTATGTTAATTGTTATGCAATTAATACACGTTCTGGTTTGTTAACACCATTCAATGACATGCAACTTCATTAAATCCTTATTTCCGATTCCATTATTATTTATCGGCAATGTGTTCTGAATGAAAATAAATCCCTGTCTGACTTTTTAGTTGTTAATTTTATAAAATAGCAAGTGAAATTTAAAAAAAAAAGTTTTAACAATAGAACTATATTGATTTATGATAAAATATTTTTTTTGCAATTAAAGGTGCATACGCAATAAACATTGTCATAAAAATAGGAAAAAAACTTAACACAAAAAGCAGTTTTTCAAAGATTAATAACTCAATTTCGCGACAGATTAAATCTTACGGTATTGGCAATAAGCCCTGGCAAACAATCGCATACACATGCTAATATTTACAGTTTTTCGTGTGTAAAGTTTTTTTTTCCAATGACACAAACATAATTACTATCAAATAATCTACTGGTTTGCATAAATATTGTCTGGTTCCGTAGGAGTATCATTAATGCCTTTATTAGTTTTTGTCTTCACATAATCTATATCAGCATATTCTGTCGGGGAATCTCGCCGCTTGGTAACTGCTGCTTTTGATGGAGTCTCATTTGGATCAAATGCAAGATCAGCATATAGTAATTGTCCGTCCTGTGCATGTTGGGGCTTAAAATGAAATCAAACACAAACATAAAAAACACTGTGTTTTCCAGATGTAATAGTTTTTAAATCTAAATTTATACTTCATCTGATGAAAAGCTGTTACAAACATGTTCAGTTCAAGTAAATTATTATATCAAACATGCAGATTGCCTAGCGCAAGCCATGGCAATCACAACGTCTCTATAGAATTATAAAACAAAAGAAAATGTGATAATTGTTATCCACACCTTTTCCGTTTTTGAAGATGAAGCAGATTTTCCTGTTTTGTTTACTTGCGCATATGTATTGTCCGAGTCTTCTGTCGTGTTCTTTTTAACTGGTTTAACTGGTTGAGAATATGCAGGTACTTCAGCCTCGTTCTCAAGAGCATGCGCATTCTGACTAAGGTTTCCCAAAGGCCGAACCTCCGGGTTTTGTTTAGAAAATCTGCAATCGTATACACAGAATCATGATTCTTATGATTGTTTTTAAAAATTAAAATTAAATTCAAATTGAACGGTCTAAATTGTAACATGGCACAAATATCTCTGAAATTTACAAATCATTTAAAAGGTTTTAGTTATTTCAATATCATGAGATAAAGCAATCAAAGTTTGATCGTTGAGCTTATGATATATTTAAAAAGTCAACGTAAAATAAATATATGCACAGTTGCAGAAAGTTTTTATATTTCTGTTATTTTTTACTTATCTTAAATTAAAGTTTACAAACAAGCTAATTTTTTGATAAAGTATTTATTAAGAGTAAAGAGACACTTACACTATATCATCCGCATGCTTGTGATAATCTACCCGGCTTTTTCCCCTCTATTCTGTTATATTTAAGAAAAAACATATAAAAGAAATGCCATCATAACTAAAAATGCCGGTTGTAAATACAAAAAAAAATGTAATAGATAAACGTGATTAAACAGAAATAAGCTTGAAATTAATATTGTATGCCTAAAACAGAATGTTTTGATATGAAAGTGTTCAATTTTAATATGAAAGTGTTCAACGAAAACAGACACTTATGCAGACGTGGGGCTTGCTTACACGATACGCTTGTACAAAATTGTACAGGCTTGTGGTTAAGTTGTTTAGCTCAGCCCAGGGCCTTTAAGTCAAAGGAGATGTTTCATGTAACGTACTAGAAAACAGCTGGTATAAATTTTCTCATCATGATCGAGCTTAACTACATATTTTTGTGATTTAAACACTGTAATGTTTATCGTACATTTGTATTATTTTATGTGTGTTTTTGTTGTCTGAATAATTAGGAATAATGTGAACGCAAAAGCAGCGTTGAACAATTACAGCGCCTTTTTCTATCCATCGTATGAATTCAGTTAATTTCCGTATTCAATGGATAATTCTAAAATTGGCAATGCATTTTTTTTTTCTAAATTATTGTCCCGTTCCTGGACGGTGGTAAGATTCGATCATTTATACCCGTACACCGCATGTGCTAAGCTAAGCCAACCAGAATGGAGAATTTAATATCACATGATAACAAATGGATGACAAAATACCTCAAAATGTCGCCCTGTTTGAACAGCAGTCTGCTGTGGTTTTTTGTTTTGTTGCGTTACCTGTACATAGAATTGAATAACTACCTTCATGTACGAGGCTCGAAACATGTTTGTAGACTCCTGTGGGGTAAACATTATCCGGTGTATTTCTGTTACTCTGTTGTTCAGGAAGGAGTCAATTTCACGACAAAATTTGGAATACCCGGCTAAATTCTAGCATTTAAGAAAATCCTAATATTTGTGTAATAGCAATGTTTGATAACCTATACAATGCACTGCAAATGACGCCATTTTTCATAGAAGATATAAAGTCAATCTTACCTGTAGAATTTAGGCGTTTTTTCCTGATGACAACAAACAAGACCGCTATAACAACGATACCGGCCACAAGTACACATGCACCCAGTATTATCCAAATTATGGACTTGTCCGTAGCTTGGCCAGTATGTTTCTGTTTATCATTGTATTTACTGTCTTTCTCGGCTTTCTTTATATAAAAAATATGAAATTTTTCCTTATGATTAGCTAATGACTTACTTAGATTATCTATTATAGTAACATGAATTTCACGATGGTAATATATTTTAATGCCAAGAACCAGATTATATCTGTATGAAATCAATTTGTATCAAGGGTACAAATTGAGATCATGTTTAGTAAAACTTGCAGGAAAACGGACTTCTTGAAGAGTTCAAGACTTCGCAATGAATGGGACTCGTTGTACAAACTTGTGTTTGTAACAAGAGACATGAGATGAACAGGAGTATCGGTAAGCTTTTAACAAGTATCATATCGGAAAGAAAGTTGAATCATTTAAATGGAAACGCTTCAAATTATTAAACATAGTATTAAAATACAAACGACATTTTGTTTTCCAAATTGTAACTTTAACACTATGTTTAACAAGGCACGGATTCTTGTTTTTGGAAATTATAATGAAAATATTTAAAGAAATACTAAAACAAACAAATGGAATGTAAGAACATTACCTATTATGTGTACAGTCAAATATTTTTGATCAACTTTTGTCTTATAGTGAACTTGGCACATAAAACGTCTGTTTGAAACTTCATCAGTATCAATATTTAATACGCAGTTTGGTGACAAGTCACATTGCTTCTTCCTTATGTTTCCATTACTTAACTCTTCAATCCATGATATATTGGAGGCAGGAACGCTTTCAGCTTCACATTTTACATGTGCCCGCTCTCCTTCAGAAATATTCAATGTCGATCCAGATATATTGAACTTTATAACTGGAGGGACTGAAATTTGATTTCAATACAATATCATGTTTGTCATAATTAGAGATTGGTACAATCGGAATATTTATCTTGATGATAAGCTCATATATGCAGATACAGATATAAACACAAACGCAGCAACAAATAAATCAGAAAAAAGTTACTTAGATTACTTTACAATGAAACAAAATATCCCAAGAGTGATATTTCACATTCTAAGTCTACGTTTGGAAATAAATATAATGCTAATTTAAATGTTGAAAAAAGTGGCAGTGACTTACAAGTTTAAACTATTTTTTCGTCTTTAAAGAGACAGTGTTTTATGATATTTCAGGTAGCTATCTAGATAATAATTGCGATCTTTATCAACAGAAATGTCTAGAAACTTACAAGGCAGAAGTATTTTGACAGTGTCTGTAAGGTCAACAGAAAACTCGTCACACTCAACCATACACGTTACATCTTTACCATTGTTTTCTTCACGGACATTTAAGTTTACTTCATACACATAATTCCAAGCACCATGGGGTAGACTTTTATTCTCTGAAGACTTTTCTGATCCGATAATACCTCTTGGAGCTTTAAACTGAACGTTGCAGACTGGATTCGAGCCATACACAGTGCAAGTAGCATACATTTGACTGTCCTCATCACCTTTGACTTCTAACATCACATCCGTTGGAGGAACTAAACAAAACAAGAAATTTAACATAAATACCATGTTCTATTATTGAAATAATTTTCATTTGATACATTATACGTGTTCATGTTTCATGTTTTCAGGCTGAAAGTAAAAGTTGTTTTTTTTCCAGAAGATATTTGTTTGTTTTGCTTAAGAAAGTACACGTGTTTTGAAACAATATCATCACTTGTTAACAGCAGTTTGTAATTACAGTAAAAACTTGCTAATGAGACCACTGAAGAGACTTCGCAAATCTGGTTAGCAAATAAATAGCGTTTCTGTCCCATTTATGAGTCCGGTCAAACAGAACATCATGAATTACAAGTGAAAAGAATCTAAAATATAGGTGCACTCAGAAGACTATGAATGAAATAGGATAAACTGTAGTACACACAATATTTTAAAGAAATTTTCTACAAAAAAACTTACAAAGATAGTTAATTTGTTTTGGTGGTGAACAGTCCCGCACAATTTTGTACCATTCGTTATATCGACAGCACGTGATGTTTTCTTTGTTCCATTCTTTTTTGAATGTGGTAAAAGTGATAATGTTGGTATTTAAAGATGTAGTCGAATTATAATAATGTGAGTTTGCAGACGATACTTCTGAACCGGAAATACTAAAATACACATTCGGATTAGGTCCTCCATCATCAATCGTACATGTGATGTTAACAGCTTCTCCGTCTCTTAGAACTTCCGGGACCGAAAATTGAAACGTTGGCGGTTCTGTAAATAAACAAAAAAAAGGTTATAACACAACTAATAAAACATAAATATCAAAAGTATAAAATATATGAGATTAAATTAATAAAATCACATAAAGCAAAGTTTGTAACATTCGGTATTGTATACAAAAAAGAAATGATTGTAACATTTAGCATTTTGAGTTTTCAAAGAGTAAGAGTATCCAAACATACAACCTAAATACACATTAAATTAGCAAATTATACTTACTTATAACAAACATCTGAGCAGTAACATTTAATGGTGACGACAATGCATCGTTCATGACTGAAAATATCACATTTTCCATATGATGGTGGTCTCTAACCGTAAAAAGTACCATATAAGTTGTTGAATTCCATTCTACAGGTATATATGATTCATTTCCTATTGTCATGGTAACAATTAGAGGACGGGTGCCACCGTGTATCTCACAGGTAAGTTTGAACATCTCATTATCCTCACCAACAACACAGTCAGTGCAACTTTCTATGTCTTGTAGGCCAACTATTACAGGTACACTTGGTGGTTCTAAAAAAGTATGCATTCTGTTAACAACAAAGAAAAGTAATGAATTATTTATATTAAATTTGGTTTAAAAATATAGAAATATTTTGACCTACACCACACTGATATCTTTTAACAAAGGCACATTTACACAGACCTGAAGATAAATCACTCTTATGAATAGTACTGTACCCGCACGACACTTCTAACGCAACACCGACGTTATTTTGCTATAAATATAATTTTATGACGGAATCATTATCTTGCAATTTATAACAACAAAAAATAATTGTTTGCTTGTTTGTTTGATTAGGTTTTACATCACACCGACACATACAAAAATAATAAATAACAGTAATAACAGTAATGATAAAAATAACAATGATAATAAAAGATTTTATCCAAAACAGCAATACAGTTAGATATGCCCATACAACCGTATGAGCTATATTAAGCAATAAATACAGAATTAAAAGAAAAGCAAAGATCATAACAAAAGTTATAAACGACATTATACAATGATTGTACGTTAGCAAGTTATATTCATAAATGAAGTGATTCGCGCACACTTATTCATCGCATACACATGAATGATTTAAAATGCAAAATTATTTTAAATGAATTATATTCTTTTAAATAGAAATCCTATATTTAAAAGCGGTATTAACAGTTCATTTCCAGTAGCAAAATTGATCGATGATTTTTGATGGCTTTCTTGATGCATGCCGATGGTACGCGCTAAGTCAATATTAAATGCAGAGCATATTACAATAAGAATATTTACAATTTATAATTGTCGCTTATACCGGTTATTATTACGATGCCCATGAACTGACATCCGTAAATCTTTTAATTACGTAATTACATTAGTTAAAAAAAGATAACATTTGTTAAAAACGTAAAACTATTTGTAAAAAACATTTGTTAAAAGCTAAATAACATTTTTTAAAAACGAAATATTATTTACAAAATGACATTTCGTATTTACAAAATAATAAAAGTGAATCAACATTTCGTTAAAAACATGAAATAGTATTTCGTGAAAGTGAAATAGCATTTGGTCACAAGAGCTGCCAGTCAGAGGAAAGTTAATATAAAAAAGTAACCTTATCAGATTTATGGACCTTGTATAATGACCTTGCATTATGATGAAGGAGACACGATTTAAGTTTCAAGTCTTAGAGTATCAGTTCATAAATTTATAAATAAATATTGCATGCAAAACCTTCACCAAGAATTCAAAAGGGGCTATAATTCAGTCAAAAACCATTCCAAGGTAGTGTTATGAGCCTTGGAGTGTGACATCCAAATATTATTCCAAAATAGACTTACATTTTGAATTTTAAGTGAATACCTTCAGTAGTTTTAAATATTGCTGTTGTATGCATAACTTCAACCAATAACGTTTTTCCAATTAGGCATCTCTTAGAATTGTATTAACTTACAAATGAGTACCTTAAGAAATTTTGAAGATTAAATGCTGCATGCAAAACGTTACAAAAAACTCATGAGTTCTAAACAGACAATAATTCTGTCAAAATTCGTTTAAAAATAAAAATGTCATAGATGTCAGTTTTTGGGCATCGCATATTATAAATAATCATAATTAGTGCTCGCCAATTTTTTTAAAAAAAAAAAACCCGGGACGAGGTTTTTTAAAATTTTTCAGGTTTCTAATTTTAAATTAAAAACAGATTTATAAAAAACGGGACGTTTTATATTAAAAAAACCGCAATGGGCGGACTCAGACCCGGTTAGATTTGCATTTTGGGATGTTCTTCGTAAATAAAAAAGGGCTACAGTGGGCTTGGGCCAGCTCCGCCCCTTTTTTACTTTCTTATTACAAAGAAACCCAAAAATACATTTAAACCTATACAAAACGTTTTTTTCGTTTCACTTATTTTATTTTTTAAAATCGATCACCAAGTAGACCTGGCCCCCCGTAAATTTTTAAAATAACGGGCTTAATCATGTGCAGAGAGTACAAAATGACATTTTTTAAACATATTAAATCATTTTTCATAGGGTTCGTTAAAATAGAATTATTTTTCCCAAGTTTTATAAAAAAATATGGCTTTTACTCTTTATTATTTTTTTTAAATAAAATATATCACCTTTTATTTTTGTTTTTATATTTTTAAGAATTTTTTCATTTTTAAAAACCATCCCAAAAACCTGGAAATTTTTCACGGTTAAAAAATCTGTTTTTCTTGGGAAGGGGCCCAATAAACACCATAATCTCCTTTTCAAGTTTATATTGAAAATGCATATTTTTTCAATACTTTATTTTTTAATTTTGCTCAAATTTTTTCTTCGAAATACCAAAAACAAAGTCAATATTTTGGGCTTCTCCCTCTGAGGGAAATGATCCATTTTACGTTCAAAAATTTAGCACATTTTGCTTTCACATCGGGTTGACGGATAATTTTCGATTTTCAGGGTTTTCCTTTAACAACCACCTTTTAAGATCTAGGTAGACGAGTCCACCAAAATTTTTTAAATAGTTTTTAAAAAAAAATTTAAAGAAAGGAAAATTGGAAATTTAATTTGTGTTGATAAAAAATTTTTTAAAAACAGGGTTTCAGACCATAAAAATTTTGTATCAATAAAAAATATTCAAAAAAACAATTATAGTGAGATAATGTAAAAAAAAAAATTTTAATTGAAAATGAGAATGGCTAGCTATAGATAGTGGCTACCTTTTTTACATAAAAGTTTCAAAATTTACATTGAAACTTTAAAAGGAAAATTTAAATATCCCCAAGCAAAAAATATCTATTCTACAATTTTTTTCAACGAAATTTCCCCAGCGTCCATCCCAATGTATAGTCTCTTTTATAATAATAAACGATAAAATACCTCGTAAAATTTTTTTTTACACTGTCTGTTAATTCAGGAAGTAAATCTTTTTTCCTCATTTTTGTTTTAAATTTGTTTTTAAAAGGGGAGCGTTTTCCATTGATCTATTCCATTCATGCTGCGCTCCCATTTTTAGAATTGCATTTGGATCTTATGTTGTCGGGAGTAAAAAAAAATTATGACATTCCTTCCTAGTTTGTTGGTTTGTCAATACTCAATTTTTTTTTTTACCCCCCCAACTTTACTCAAACCATCGTCACCTGTAGAATGACCCCATCATCATTTTAAAACATTCACATTTTATTGACTTTTATTAATGTATTGTTATGATAATTTTACAAATTAAACCAATTTTTTTGATGAATTTTTAAATTTGTTTCGAAAAGTCTTCGCTATTATATCAGCCTATTATGTTTTACATTTTTCATGAAAATCCCTTTATATTGAAAACATTCATTTTCAATTTTTGGGGGATGTTTTTCCCTTGTCCCATATCGGGTAATATTTGATACTGAAACAACACGGAATGGGTCAAATTTATGTCGGCTCACATTAAGGTAAGACATGATTCCCCAATTTTTCCTCATTAAAATTTGTTTCATTTATCATTTGTTTTCATCATGCAAAACTTAAAAACTTTCTTTAAAGTAACGTTGCCCAATGGGAATTCAATGTAAAGCCAAAGAAATTGTGACGACCAAAACATTGCTGCCATGTTTACATTTGAAAATTTCGACAACATTTTTGTTCTAATTCGATTTTGATTCGTCATATTTGTATACAAAACAACATTTTCCTGGCGCTTCACGTGATTGAATTTGTATTTCGTTACTTTTGTCACCGCATGGTTGATTTTAATGACGATAACTTGGTTTCAATCTTTAGTTAAAAAACATTCTGGAATAATATGTCAGAAACCATAGGTAAGCATAGCTAAGACTTTTCGAAACAGGGCATTAATAAGGGGTGACTAATAAGAAAATTTGGTTAAGTGTACTTACTACATGTACTATATTGTTGTATGAAAATATTTTAAAACAAAAAAATTTTTAAATATAACAGATGTTAAAGATATTCCTCCCTCCCACTTTTTAAAGGGTTTACGTGGGGCAAAATTCTAATTATTTGACAACAGCTCAATTTAACCATGTTTGGCACTTAAAATTACATGTTTAATAAACCGTTGGAAAGAAAATTTATTTATTTTTTCTGTGGGGTTGGTTTTAAAAACTTAGAACAAATTTAAAAAAATTGAAACCCGACCAGGCTCCCCAATTTCCGCTACCTTTTGAAAAAGCATGAGCACTGTCAACCCGCAAAATTTTTTAAAGGGCGCAAATATTCGGGGGGAAAAAAAAGTACTTTATCGGGCCTAAGTGCCTCATATTGAAAGTGTTTTGCCGTTGGAATTCCACTTTTGCTAACTTCTTTAACAAAAAAGGGAACGCCTTGAAAAAGCCTCGACCTTATTGACTAGGTGAATATCGGATTCCTTTAGACGCCTACAAGAAATTGTCACAGGGTATGAAACGTGGCGTTATCTATTTGAAGCCGGGCTATGAAACTCAGTAACAAAAATGTTAATAGATGAAAACGCGACCAGCCGTTTAAAAAGTTACATGTAAAACTCTATTTTTGACAGTGACGGAAAATGGCCCATGTCGCTGTCTGTCTTAGAGAGGGAAGCTGTCCACTAAAACATTTTGCCATGGCCATGTACTCACTTCTGTAATTAAATTCACTACGTTACAAAGAACCTAAGGTCCGGGAAACAACAGGATTAAATTAGTCTTGGTGATGCACCTAAGCACCGGTTAACCTTGCTTTTCAAGCTTATTTGGAGGAGCCATAAATTAAGGGTTTTGCCTTATGCCGTTATTAGTCCTTTCCCTCTTTTTGGGGGGACTATTGGTTAAAACCAGAATAAATCTTTCCTTTTTCCTTTTGGCATGATATTTTAGTTAAAAAATTTCCAATGCCTGCTTAATGTTAAATTTACTCATTTTACACTGCTATTGGTGCTTTTTTTGTCAGTCACTAGCATGCTTTTACTTTTTATCACGCTTTTTGGGAAAAAAAAACACTGGGCCCGCTTACTGTTTAAAAATTTTATTCTTTTACACTGCTATTGTGCTTATTTTATACAGTCATTATGGGATTCTTTCCCCTTTTCATCACGCT